AGAGTTGAGACCCTTGTTTCAGTTTGTAGAACCTTGTAAACCCTCAAACGACAAAATTTATAATCTGATCTGTATGGAACTGTCTTGTAAAGGCCCCCATTTACCTACAAAGGAATAAATATGCGACAACCCTTGACGACCGCTCGGACGATTTAGCTGCTGTGGGCGTATGTTTTGTTGCCTGGCAACCTATCTTTTGGGACTAGAACTCAGTTATTGTTTGTAAGTTAATAGACTAATATTTTTTTTAATATATTTTCTTTTCTTTTAAAGATTAATAAAGGGGTAATGAGACCAACAGAACAGATTTATTGAAACTGTAGAGACATTGTAAATAATAATAAAATATGTGTGCATAGTCATATATAATCTTTTTATTTGACCATATTTTCAAGTGGATGTATATTGTTGTTGCCCCTCTTCGTTATGGACCCTCTAGAGGTCAGAATATTTATCCGGTTTGGATTATACTTAAAATATATCTTTATATCCTAGAGATTTCGGTTCCTTTTGATATTCGCACATATTGGACCATCCCTTCCTGGAACATGGACGCTGATTTGTACAAAAAATCACTTTTTTTTTTTAGCTCGTTCTCTGTCCATTTATTGCAAAATGTGGTTGTATCTTGCATGGCAACCACTTTTTATACGCCCACATTTTCATGTGGACATATATTGTTGTCGCCCCTGTCCGTCCGGACGTCCATCCACAATTTGTTTGTGGACACTCTACAGGTCAAAATTCTTATCTGATTTTGACGAAACTTGAAATATAGGTTTATCTCCAAAAGATCTTGGCTGCTTTTGATATTGGCATGTATCGGATCGAAACATCATGGATTATGGCCCCTGTTTGTACGAAAAATCACGTTTTTAGCTTGTGGACCCTATAGAGGTCACAATTTTTATCCGATTTTGTTGAAACTTGAAATGTAGGTTTATAACCCAAAGATATTTGCGCATATCGGACCATAACTTCCTGAATTATGGCCGATTTAAAAAACTATTATTATATCACTGTTACACGCTAAGAAGGACTGAGTTCGAATTTCGTGAAAATCGGCCCACAATTGACAGACAAAATGGCTGCCGTTCGTTCTCAAATGGCATAAAAAATATGGTATATCAAGGTTGTGGACCCTATAGAGGTCACAATTTTTATCCGATTTTGTTGAAACTTGAAATGTAAGTTTATAACCCAAAGATCTCAGTTCCTTTTGATATTTGCGCATATCCGACCGTAACTTCCTGAATTATGGCCCCTGGTTGTACGAAAAATCGCGTTTTTAGCTTGTGGACCCTATAGAGGTCATAATTTTTATCCGATTTAAAAAACCTATTATTATATCACCGTTACACCCTAAGGACGACTGAGTTTGAATTTCGTGAAAATCGTCCCCAAACTGACAGACAAAATGGCCGCCCTTCGTTCTCAAATAGCATAAAAATATGGTATATCAAGGTTGTGGACCCTATAGAGGTCATAATTTTTATCCGATTTTGTTGTAACTTAAAATGTAAGTTTATAATCCAAAGATCTCGGTTCCTTTCGATATTCGTGCATATTAAACCATAACTTCCTGAATTATGGCCCCTGGTTGTACGAAAAATCACGTTTTTAGCTTGTGGGCCCTATAGAGGTCATAATTTTTATCCGATTTAAAAAAACATATTATTATATCACCGTTACAGGCAAAGGATGTTTGAATTCGAATTTCGTGAAAATCGACCCAAAACTGACAGACAAAATGGCCGCCCTTCGTTCTCAAATAGCATAAAAATATGGTATATCAAGGTTGTGGACCCTATAGAGGTCATAATTTTTATCCTATTTTGTTGAAACTTGAAATGTAAGTTTATAACCCAAAGATCTCGGTTCCTTTCGATATTCGCCATATTAAACCATAACTTCCTGAATTATGGCCCCTGGTTGTACGAAAAATCACGTTTTTAGCTTGTGGGCCCTATAGAGGTCATAATTTTTATCCGATTTAAAAAAAACGCATTATTATATCACCGTTACACCCTAAGGACGACTGAGTTCGAATTTCGCGAAAATCGACCCAAAACTAACAGACAAAATGGCCGCCCTTCTTTCTCAAATAGCGTAAAAATATGGTATATCAAGGTTGTGGACCCTATACAGGTCATAATTTTTATCCGATTTTGTTGAAACTTGAAATGTAAGTTTATAACCCAAAGATCTCGTTCCTTTCGATATTCGCGCATATTAAACCATAACTTCCTGAATTATGGCCCCTGGTTGTACGAAAAATCACGTTTTTAGCTTGTGGGCCCTATAGAGGTCATAATTTTTATCCGATTTAAAAAAACTCATTATTATATCACCGTTACACCCTAAGGATGGTTGAGTTCGAATTTCGTGAAAATCGACCCAAAACTGACAGACAAAATGGCCGACCTTCGTTCTCAAATAGCGTAAAAATATGATATATCAAGGTTGTGGACCCTATAGAGGTCACAATTTTTATCAGATTTTGTTGAAACTTGAAATGTAAGTTTATAACCCACAGATCTTGGTTCCTTTTGATATTCGCGCATATCCGACCGTAACTTCCTGAATTATGGCTCCTGATTGTACGAAAAATCGCGTTTTTAGCTTGTGGACCCTACAGTGGTTATAATTTTTATCCGATTTAAAAAAACGTATTATTATATCACCGTTACACCCTAAAGACGACTGAGTTCGAATTTCGTAAAAATTGGCCCAAAACTGACAGACAAAATGGCCGCCCTTCCTTCTCAAATAGCGTAAAAATATGGTACATCAAGGTTGTGGACCCTATAGAGGTCACAATTATAATCCTATTTTGATGAAACTTGAAATGTAAGTTTATAACCCAAAGATCTTGGTTCCTTTAGAAATTTGCGCATATCGAATTGTAATTTTCTGAATTATGGCCCTTGATTGTAGGAAAAATCACTTTCTTTTTAGCTTGTTCTCTATCCATCTCTCGAAAATGTGGGCGTATCCTGTCTGGCAGCCGCTGGTTATCAAATTTTGTTGAAACTTGAAATGTAAGTTTATAACCCAAAGATCTCAGTTCCTTTCGATATTAGCGCATATTGGACCGTAATATCGGATAGTAACTTCCTGAATTATGGCCCCTGATTGTATGAAAAATCGCGTATTTAGCTTGAGGTCCCTCTAGAGGTCACAATTTTTATCTGATTTAATAAAAAATGGGTGAATATATCACCATTACACACTAAGATCTTGGATTCTTTTGATAATCGCGGATACCCGAACTTAACTTCCTGGATTACGGCCCCTGATTGTTCGAAAAATGGCATTTTTACTTTGCAGATTCTCTAGAGGTCACAATTTTTTTTTCCGATTTTAAAAACCATTAAATATTCCACCATTATGAAGGTTGAATTTCGTGAAAATCGAAATGAAACTGGCCAAAAAAATGGACCCTCTTTGTACGCAAATTGTGCAAAACTATGCAATACGAAGGTTGTCGACCCTCTAGAGGTCAGAATTTTTATCCGATTCTGATGAAACTTAAAATATATCTTTATATCCCAAAGATCTCAGTCCCTTTTGATATTTGCGCATTTCAGACCATAATTTTCTGGATTATTGCCCCTGATTGTACAAAAAATCCTGTTTGTTTTTAGCTTGTTCTCTATCCATCTCTTGCAAAATGTGGGCGTATCCTGCCAGGCAGCCGCTGGTCTTTGCCCTACAGTAATATGTAGTACTAAGTTTTATGTGTTTGTGTCTCCATCTTGGATTGAATTTCAACAAGGATTATTTGTTGGCAATTTTCCACTGCAGATAAATAATTATTGGTCTGCGATAACTTATAAAGTACAATGGATTCTCACTAACAACCTATTGCCGACAAACCATCTAGGCTGCTAGATATATATTTCAAAATTTATGCTTAGATAGCAGTGTTTGTTTTGATCAACAATTATGGTTCTTTTACATGTACGCTAATGTGTACATAGGACCTCTGTTTCACGTCCCATCCAAACAATTACACACTGTTTCTTGCTAGGCCCTCTGTTCTGCACCAATGACCAAGGGCAGCCATACTGGAAATCTTGAGGCATGCTCTCGACCAACAACGGGAGTGAACAAGGAGACCTCCTGGTTAACGAGTAAGTGCCTTACTCATTGCGCCACCGAGGCTCACCCAATACAGAGACTCGAGGAATGTGTCATTTTATATAGAAATTGTTTTCTTTCTGAAAACATATTTTTTCTACATAGTTTATTACAGTAGGGGTGGTGAGTGGCCAAATGGTCTAATGTGTCCACTTTAGATCATAAGGCTTGTTATTGATTCAAGTGGCATGGTTTCAATACCAAGCTTGTACCTGACAAGGAGTATATTTGCCTCTCCAGCCTCATGGGTCCTCTTGTTTCCTCCAAGTGTTGCAGACCCCAATGCACAAGTAAAAATATTTAATTAAACTTGTGCCTTATTAGTTTGTGGTGTTGAGTGGACAGTAACCCCATCTATCTCTCTCCCCCTGTAACCAGTTCCAAGGCACTAATTGACAGTCACATTTTAATACTTAGATATTTAGCTTTACAGTTGGGTGAGGGGGGTTGGATGGCGGAATGGTTAGCACGTGCGCGTTGTATCATGAGGCCTGTCATTGAGTCACAAGGAGTAGGGTTGCCTGACCAACCTCCTGGGTTTTCTCTACGGGTCCTCCGGTTTCCTCCCACTGCTAAAGACCCCTATGCGCAAGCGAATTATTAATATAAAATTAAACCATATGTTAGTCCCGAAATGACCTAGTCTGTGTCGAGTGGATGTCAAACCCCATTTCTCTCTCTCTCACAGTTGGGCGAAAGAACTATTCCTTTTTACAACTTACATAATTATACAAATTTACATTATGACAATTTTTGTCTATAAAGTTTATTACATTAGAGGTGTAGCCACTTTAAATCTTTAAGGGTCAGTTGACAGATGAGCAAATGATAACAATATATGACCTGTTTATATAAGTATATGTATTGACCTATAGGCCTATATCTTTTATCACACTTTGTTGCCAGGTATTATCATTTAGATAAACCACAGGTATGTATAAATGTTACCTATGAATTACAAATATTAATTTAATGCCTTTATTTAAAGAAGTATTCAAGATAAAAAGGGACTGTCCCAGGTATATTTTATTGAATATAACTGGTTATTTAACCATTTAGAGATCTTGTAAATATTGACTACCCCAGTTCCTTGCAGAAAAGTGATATATTAATACCAGTACACCCTTGGACAGACCCAAACAGTCCAAATGTGAAAGAGAATTTAGAATTGTTCTGTGCAAATATTTGAAAGCCAGATTCTTGTTTAGCTGTGGTTAGATCCCCAAATGCCACACTGTAAATGCCTGGATAACCATGCCTATTCCAGTTGCAGTTTCAGTGGAACATATATATATATATATATATATATGATTACTGCAATTATAAAGTCACTCATACAAAAGAACACTTATTCTTAAATGGGTTACATAACACCCCTATCTAACAGCTCAGTATTTGGAGCTTCAGCTTACAGAAAAGGTGATTTTCAGACATAAACCCACTTTTATAAACAAACACCTTGTGAAATCTGTGATGGCTCTTTTAAAAGTCAATGAAATCTTTGTTGAATGAAAAGATGTTCGAATAAATGATATTACCTTTCAGTTAGACCTTTAACTTCGGAACTTTCCTTGTTCTCTACTTCTAACAGAAGAAAGAAAACTTATTGCAACAAAGTTTTCCTCCATATTCATAGACTTGCTGGATTGATAGTTTTTAAATTTATACCCTGGAATATTGTGAATAATGACCCTGACAATGATCTTTGACATCTATTCATTGGGATACAATAAGACTTAAAATTTACCAAAACAATAGTAATTTTGTGAAAAAATTAGGGCATGGTGCTATTGATGGGCTCTTAATTACATTTGCATGTAGATCTCTCTTTCTCTCACTCCTCCAAGAAATGGTCCTGCCTTATCCCATCCCATGGGTACATATGCATTTTGATGTAACCTTTAGTATTACCAAATCCTTAATCATGAGTTTCATCTGACTTTAACAGTACTAATGCCAATAGCCAGATATATTTAAGAGTTATCCCCCTTTAATGCACAGGTTTATTTTTGGGGTAAATAATGGATCTGTAAATGTAGGTACAACTACAAAACATCATTAAAAAATGGAAAGGTGGATTGGAAGAGTTGCCTTGGTAACTGGTGCATCAGCTGGAATTGGTGCTGCCATAGCAAGGGATTTAGTCTGTTTTGGAATGAAGGTTGTTGGTTGTTCAAGAAATATTGAGAATATTCAGGTAGTTTTTTTAAATAGTTGGCCTACTTTACTGTTTTTAATTATTTCATTTAAATTAAAGAATGATTTTGTTAACTAAGATTCATAAATGTTGGCCATTTTATAAAGTATTACTAGTATAGGATACTGTTGGTCAGATGATTACAAGCTATAAATTAGATCTCTATTATTTTGTCAACTTTAAACTAATTGTGTTACAAATATTTGTGTTATTGTTAAAGGAAATGGATTTAAAGAAAATGTACTTACATTCATTGTTCAGTTCATTTTTTGTCCCTTTTAAAGAGACAAAAAGACTAAGATTTATTTTGTTGTATGGCGAAGTTAGACACAAATAAACCTCTTTAGATGATCTTACCAGTAAACTTAATCAATGTTTTTGTGTATAATTTTGAATTTCAGAAGTTAAGTGATGAGTTAAAGAATGAGAAAGGATCATTAACTGCTATAAGATGTGATTTAAGTAAAGAAGAAGATATTATAAATATGTTTAAAACTATTACAAGTAATGAAAGTCTTGGTGGTGTAGATGTCTGTATAAATAATGCTGGTCTCGCTCATAATGCACCAATTTTATCGGGCAAAACTCAAGAATGGAGAGAAATGCTTGATGTAAGTACTGGTTATCCAAGTTAAAATGGCTAAATATCTTCCATCTTGTTAAAACTGAAATTATCAGTTTCATTTGTTTTAAGGAATGACTATTTGTCCACAGTTAAAACATGTATTATAATCAATTTGGGGGATGGGGTGGTCTATATAGTGCTCTAACATGCACTTTAGATAAGGTTTCATCAAGGAGTAGAGTCACAACCTCTGTATTTTCTCTAACTACTGAAGTCCCCTACCATGCAAGCGAATCATTGAAAATGAAAAGTGTACCATATGTTAGTCCCAAAATGTGTTGTGTTGAGTCGATGTTGAATCTCATTTCTCTTTCTCACTCTATAATCAATTTTGTGTTCCTATTTTGATACAGTAAGCCAAAGGTGAAAACAGAATTAGTAAACAAACCGAATTTGCTTGATCATACGAAACATACAGAACCGGTCTCACCAATAATCAAAATAACAGATCAACCATAATAAACATTTTTTTACCCTAATCAAACAGATTTTACTCGGTTAGGTTTCAGCGACTAATCTAATCTATACATAAAAAGAAATATAGCTACGGGGAGTGAGGCGGTATTGGAGGGTCGACTGAATAAAAGCAGTAACGGTACATACAAAGTCAATGAGTGGTGTGGTTCAAACAAAATTTTAGAATATAGTAAAAATTAAATGTTATTACAGTAGGTCCAATTAATTCAAAAACACATTTATTTTACTGTGATGGCAATGAGTATTTGTACAAGATTCTTGAAGTTTTATTAATTATATCTAAAGAATGTATATTGCAGTTTATTTTATTGTAACAGGTGAATGTGATGGCAGTAACTATTTGTACAAGAGAAGCGTTTCAGTCAATGAAAGAAAGAAATGTAGATGATGGTCATATTATATTTATAAGCAGGTTTGTTACTTCTAATATAAATAATGTCCTGGAACTAGTACATGGTTTTAAAAAATCATATTATCAGTATAAAGTAGGGATCAGTACAACTTCTCCATACAAACCTTGTCTTTGCTCCTAGTTGTTTCTTTTATTTTGTCAACTTTAACACATGTCGAGAAACTTTATTTTACTTTACTGCGGGTGGACTCTCAGTAATAGCATAGTATTAGAACATCATATTGGATTAAAATTAAATAACTGCTATCAACAATCACAAAATAGAAATTGTAATAAATGGTTCCCATACTAGATGGGCCACAGGAAAACGTGAGGATGCAATTGAAAGAATTCAGGAGTGTTATAGGGAAGTGGTTATTAGTTGTTTGCTTTAATATGAAGTCAAGTGTATGTGCTAATACAGATTCCTGCCACAGATGGTTACCTTAATACATCCTAAGTTTAAAACCTTTTAATCTTTGAGTGGTCTTTAGTGATTGAGCACAATAAAAAAACACAACACAATTTATATGGAAAACAATCACTAGTTTATACACATATAGCATGATGTTTCAAGAAGTGTTCTCTTATCAAAACAAAACCAATTATATTTAATTGAATAAAAAAATATTTACGAAATTATCCATTTCCTAGGCCAGGTAGACTGAATATTAATTTAATTATATTTTAGTATGTCTGGTCATCGTATTCCACCTAACACTGCAACACATTTTTATTCAGCAACTAAATATGCTGTAATAGCATTAATGGAATCGACAAGACGTGAACTTAGAGAACTCAAATCACACATTAGAGTAACAGTAAGTTAAACAGTAGGACATTAAACCCCATTTCATCTCACTGTTATTTGAAATAAAATTCAAACCATGTGGTTATTGTTTGTTAATATTACCTCAATATCAACTTCTAATGACTTTACAGAAGGTTGATACTGGGAATAGGCACCTTAAAACATTAATAGTTGCTATGGTAGATATAGTCAGGATCAGTCTGGAATTGTGTAACATCACCTAATAAAAGTCTTCTTTTGTTGTTGAGCAGCTAGGTCTGTCTTTCTACTAACAGCTAGCACACCACCTCCTTATGTACTGATCCCTTCTTGATTGGAGTGAAGGTGGCAACTGGGATCATTCAGCATCTACTTGCCATCATCCCAGTCCAGAATAAGATAAAATTTTGAAATGAAATGGGGTTTAACATCCTTCTGTTTTGCTCCGAACTGGGCTAATGAAGACGAGCATACGCCATACAGTGTGCTATGAGGGAAATTTCGTCCAGACAGTGGCACTACGGCCTACTCTTATATCGAATTCCAACTGTCAAGGGATCTTTTATGTGTACGCCAATGTGTACACAGGACCTCGTTTTTTTGTCCCATCCGAACGACTAGACAGCTGTCCTTGTCAGGCCTTCCGTCCTGCATCACTGACGAGGGGGAACCACGCGGGAAAGTTACAATTTTGACAAATGCATCTGGATTAGAGCAAACAGACTTGAATGGTCCATTTGACACTGTATAATAACAATCAATCATTGTTTTGAAGAAAAGAAAAAATTTACGATTTTGCTTTGTGATTCACAACTGCATCTTCCAGAAAGATCTATATATTACCCTCTCTTATCGAGAGTGTAGGTATGTTATCTAGGCAGCTCAATGAGTAAAGATCTGGCTTGCTAACCTGGAGGTCCTCCATTTGTTCACATAGTTGGCCGAGAAAGTTCAACAGGATTTTTTGGCGTGGTTCCCCCATGTCATTGGTGCAGGATCGGGAGCCTGAAAACTGACAGTGTCTAGTCATTCAGATGGGAAGAAAAAGCAGGGTCGACTCCTGTGTATAGCTGGAATTCGAAATAAGAATAGGCTGTATTGCTGCTGTCCATGCAAAATTTCCATCATAGCAAACTGCATGGCATAATTATGCTCATCTTCATTAGCCTGGATGACTTTGATTCCCTTAACAACTGCTCCATAAAATGCTTTCACTGATATTAGTTTGTGAAAGAGAGAAATCTTCAAATAAAACATCTTATCATCCAAACTTAAGGTCACACCAATTCAAATTTCTGTTCTTCGGGAACACCTACTAAAACTTTGGCCTTCTATTTCTTTAGGAAAAACTTTTTTTTATAAACAAAAAAGTACATAGTTCTAACTATTATTGTTTTCAAATTTTACAGAAACACTGAGCACAAGAATTGAGTGGGTTACTTATTGATCTAGACCACAAAGAACTAAAAAGTAACTTGGTTAGGCCTTATTCCTATCAGATAGTCGTCTGTTCTAATTTGTTCAAAATGAATTGCAGCAGATTCCTTCTCAAATTTAGCAGACTAAGATATGATAAGCATGTGTTTGTACAAATATAACAAAATAGGCCTACTGTTCATTTTATTTTCTAGGGAGTTAGTCCTGGTTTGGTAGAAACTGAGTTTGTCTACAGGATGAATAAAGATGAAGAGAAAGCTAAAGCTCTGTATTCTAGCATCCTGGTATTTGTCTTAAATATAGATTTATTATTACTAATATACTAATACTGTTACAAATATCAAATTTCTTACAGCTTCATCCACCCTATCCCCTAATATGTACTAAGATTGATTATTTAACATTTAATATAGAAAAAATCAAAATACCAACGCCAGATGATCTCTGGGCATGGGCTAAATCGGATTTAAACAGGCCCATCAATTAGTTTCATCGCCAATAAGATGGCATCAATGTTGTTACATAGCGAGAAGCATTAATCGATGTAATTTCAATTTATCATATCTTTATAAATACTGAATGTAATGGACTGATAAAGCTGGTTAATTCAGTGGTGAAAAACTTTAGCACCTTTTATACTAGTTCTGTGCATCTACATGAAATATAAATTTTCCTTTCAATTGTTGGGGTTGACCGTGAGTAGGGTCATCTGCCTAACATCATGCATTTTCTCTGGGTCCTCAAGCTTCCTCCCACTGCCAAAGATCATCACTACCTGTGAGTGAATTATGTTATATGGTACTATATGTTAGTCCAAAAGTGACCTTGTTTGTGTTGAGATGATTTAAACACATTACCCCCTCTTCCTCTCTCTCTTTCTGAAAATGAACATAATTAAAATTTTGTCAATTAACTATTTATTTTTATATTTTAGTGTTTGAAAGGAAAAGATATATCGAATGCTGTTGTTTACGCATTACAAGCACCATCACATGTTGAGGTAATGATTATTATTTTTATACGCCCACATTTTCATGTGGACGTATATTGTCGTCGCCCCTGTCCGTCCGTCCACAATTTGTTTGTGGACTCGCTACAGGTCACAATTCTTGTCCGATTTTGACGAAACTTGAAATATAGCTTTATCTGCTTTTGATATTGGCATGTATCGGATCGAAACTTCATGGATTATGGCCCCTGTTTGTACGAAAAATCACGTTTTTAGCTTGTGGACCCTATAGAGGTCACAATTGTTATCTGATTTTGTTGAAACTTGACATGTAAGTTTATAACTCAAAGACCTCAGTTCCTTTCGATATTCGTGCATATCGGACCGTAAATTCCTGAATTATGGCCGCTGATTGTACGAAAAATCGCGTTTTTAGCTTGTCGACCCTATAGAGGTCATAATTACACCCTAAGGAAGGTTGAGTTTGAATTTGGGGAAAATCGGACCAAAATTGCCGGACAAAATGGCCGCCGTTTGTACACGATTAGTGTTAAAATTTTAATTCGATTTTGATAAAACTTGAAATGCATGTTTGTAACCTAAAGATCTTGGTTCTTTTCGATATTGTCGCATATCAGATCGTAACTTCCTGAATTATGGCCCCTGATTATACGAAAAATCGTGTTTTTAGCTTGTGGACCCTATATAGGTCATAATTTTTATCCGATTTAAAAAACCGTATTATTATATCACCGTTACACCCTAAGGAAGGTTGAGTTCGAATTTGGGGAAAATCGGACCAAAATTGCCGGACAAAATGGCCGCTGTTTGTACGTGAATAGTGTAAAAATAGGGTAAATCAAGGTTGTGGACCCTGTATGGGTCACAATTTTAATTCGATTTTGATGAAACTTGAAAAGCATGTTTATAACCTAAAGATCTTGGTTCCTGTCGATATTGTCGCATATTTGATCGTAACTTTCTGAATTATGGCCCCTGATTGTACGCAAAATCGCCTTTCAAATTTCCTGAAAATCAAACCAAAACTGCCGGACAAAGTGGCCGTCGCTTGTACGCGAAAAGGTGTAAAAATATGGTATATCAAGGTTGTGGACCCTGTACAGGTTACAATTTTAATCCGATTTTGATGAAACTTGAAATGCATGTTCATAACTCAAAGAGCTTGGTTCCTTTCGATATTTGTGCATATTGAATTGTAACTTCATGAATTATGGCCCTTGATTGTAGGAAAAATCACTTTCCTTTTAGCTTGTTCTCTATCCATCTCTCAAAAATGTGGGCGTATCCTGCCTGGAAGTCGCTGGTTGTGTATTTATATATAGGAGCTTTATAATTTATTTTTAAAATGAGATGTTATTTTAGATAAGACTATGAAGCAAATGAAAATGAAATGAAATGGGGTTTAACGTCCTACTGTTCTGCTCCTAAACTGGGCAATGAAGACGGGCAAATGCCATGCATTGTGCTATGAAGGAAATTTTGCCCGGGCAGCGACTCTAGACTATGAAGCATGTTTTCAGTATTTACTATATAACCTGATTGTCAGTACATGTTAAGGGGTCAGGCTACTTGAAAATTTTAAAATAGAAACATGTCATGCAGCCCTTTTTCAAGTGATGAGGGATTATCTAAGAACCAGAATATTTTTTTTTTATATGGCCTTATTTTATCTTTTTTGAATGTTTATTTTCCATCCTCTGATTGTTCACAATTCTTTTAAAGCTTGTGAACTCAAAACAGGACAAACTTTTGCATGGAAATATTGAAAACTTGGTGTGATTGATGATTCGGACCAAAATAGGAAACCTTTCAAAATCCACGATTTTTCAGTCACAAAATTGCTGTTATTTCCCAGTTTACATTAAAATCTTGTGAATAAACCTTAGCTTATGAAGTTAATAGATTAGAAGGGCTGTAAGATAAATGTGTAAATATTACTTTTGATACTACCTGGAAGTATGGCTGGATTTTTCGAAAACTATTTTTACATTTTATTTATTTCAGATAAATGATGTCCTTATAAGACCAACAGAACAAACATATTGATTTAAAGAAAAAACCCAAGGTGGTCTATGGGCCAGTCATTGCCCAGCTGGAAAAAAAATATCTAAGAAAATTACTTGCTAGTCATTAGTCAATTCACATGTCAATATATAAAACTTAATTACACTTTAATTAAACTACTTTAAAAAGTCACAGTAAATCTAAAATCTAGTTTGTTCTTTGTTTTAAATAGGTTGCCAGGCAATGAAACATGCCCACGGTCACTAAATTGTCTGAAGCAGTACACAAGTCTTTGTTGGATTGTGAATCTTTATGCAAAATTTCTATACTGCATACTATTGAGACTTTCACAAGATTACATGACATAATCAAGGGCAACAACTCTTTCAGTAATTATCATAAATTGTTGCAACTGTACGTTATTCATCAAAAGTAAGAAGATAAATTTATAGTAGATTGGATAATGACTTTAGCCTTTAAAACACTCAAGTGAACAAGGGCCATAACATGTTAACAGTTATCACAAAATTTGGAGTAAAACTAGTATTCATTCGAATCGAGACAGTGATTTCCCTTTTCAAGCTGACTTTCCTGTCCTCTTCTAAAACTTATCTTCCCTGTTGATCATATTTTGCAATACTTTTGGCACTTTGACAACGAATGTTCTTGTCAGGTTTCTCAGTGATTAGTAAGACCCCACCCCAGGTGAAAGTGGACACTAACCTCCAGTAGTATTGAGTTGAAAGGAGGTCCAATCTTTGTGACATACCCACTCCAAAATTCTTTAGATGATAGAGAATGATAACTCTAAATCTCCACCACTGAACAAAACAGAACCCACACAGTCAATTTATAAAATAATTTTATTACATGTATAATATCTATTTCATTTGACAATACTTGTAAATTCATAACAATTAAATATTAAAGCTGGGGAAGTAACAAAAAGCAAAATCAAAATTAACTTTTAATTCTAAATGCAGAGGATTTGGTTTTTTTTTGTGTTTTTTTTTAATGGAGTTTAATTCAATGTCCACACCATACAAACTAGGTCATTTTGGGACTAACATGTTACAATTTTATTTTAATAATTCACTTCTACCAGAAATCTTTAGCAGTGGGAGGAAACTGCAAATAAGCTACAATGTATTGGACTTGGACAGCCGACCTTATTCCTTGTCACATAAAAGCTAAGGATCACAACCACCTCACTTGACTCAATGACAGACCTTATGATCTAAAGCACAATCACTATTTCTTTAATCTGGTGGAATTTTATTTCATGTTATTAAATTATCTAGATGGGTAATTTGTGTAGATTAGTAATAAATTCATTCATACTGTTGTTGTCCTTCCTCACAAATAATGAATACATCATTTAAATTTTGGTATTTAGTGAACTATTTTCATTTTTAAACAGAACATAATTTTGAATTACTTTGAGTGCATTTATGATATATTTCGAAAAGTAGGATGTTAAACCCCGTTTCATTTCATTTATCATCCATTTCAGAATTGATCGTATATTTATTAATTTTATTGATAATACTGAAAATTTAAAGCAATAAAAAAAAGATTTAAAAACATAGAATAATAAAACAATAACATAAAATATGATGTTAATACCAATACAAGACTTATTAGAATGCAGTAAACCAATTCCTTGGTAAATATTTTAAAATTCCCCAATAAGCACAAAAATTAAAGAATAAAAAGTTTAATAATAATACACATTAATACAACTTACAAATCCCATACACTCAATAAAATTTATAGGCCACACCAATTTGATTTTTCATTCTTCGGGGAACGACTTTGAAGCATTTTCTGATTGAGCCTTATTGAAAATTGAAGTTTTTTTTCGTGGGTTCCGAAGAATGTAGATTTTCCAGTTTGTCGGCAGGTTAAGAGATCCCAATACCACAATTCAAATGGCTATTTATTTATGAAGACTAAGCAGAAAAGAAAATTGGTGTGACATTATTATTATTATTAGGGGTTTTACAATAAACTTAGAAATAAACATAACAAGACTAACAAATCCAATGCACTCATTAACATAACAATTATTACTTTAAGTTATGTACAATATCATACAAACATACTACCTACAACTGTCTACATAATCTCTCTAAGGTAAAATATAAATTTAACTATGAAATTAGAACATAATATTAAACAATATAAAGAGCTCTTTTCAAAAACAATTGGAAGAGGAATTGAGTATGATAACATCGCCGTCATCTTGGAATTGTCGCATCACATCAACAATCAAAGACTGTATGCCGAGTATCAAGTTGATAGTACTTGAATTGACGTTTTGAAGGAGTGTTGCCGTCAACAAAAACAACAAGAAGATGATTAGTGTACTGGCGACCCGTTCCTGGCCCAAAACCAGCCCAGTCTATCCTAAAGTCTGGAATTTTGTTTTAGAAAAGATCTCTACATTTATATTTGAATCAATCATGTTAAAGTCGTTCTACTTTACATGCACGCATATGTTATTTACATTCAAAGGGTATCAAGTATCTCAATCATTGCTGCATCTCAAATTCAGAGTTATTTTTAGCCATTAAATTTCACTAAGGCAGTCATGGCCTGAATTCTCGACTGCTAATAAGGCAAATCAGGACATAAATATTTCTTTCTCATTCAGACTGTTTCAGCCTGTTCAACTTTTGATAATATGGATGTTCTATTTGAACTCAGCAAACTTGAGTATCAAGTCCTATACAAACTTTCTTATTTGGTGGACCATCATCTATAAGAATATCATTTGAATTATTGGTATTTTTTTCCTGTGTACACATTGGTTTGAGATTTCCACTCTTAAGCTCATCAAAAATCACTTCAAGTTTCTCACACAAAAAATCTATATTGTCTTTGGTAAAGCACATTGGTGGTTTGAATTTAAGAACATTCATATGGGGTCCATCTCTACTATAGAGTATTCGCTCCTCTTTTAATCTGAAATAGGTACAGAGTCATAATTAAAATCTCTTTGCATCGTTTTAGCAATAGAAAAGAAATGAAATGGGGTTTAATATCCAACTTTTCTGCACTGACTGGGCTAATGAAGACGGTTTCAGTAATAGGAGTCACTTACAAACTACAATATTGTGAAAGATGAACCTCTAATAGGAATACCAGTCCATTCAGTATTTACAAATATATGTTGAATTAAAATTTCATTAATCAATGCTGCTTGCTACATAATAAACCCACTGCCATTTTGTTGCTGGTGAACAGTAAAAAACACATCCGTACACCCTTGCATATAAATTCATGTAAATAAAATAAAGAATGACACTCATTGTCTTTTTATTAATAATATTGAATTCTGTGAGTATGACCTGAAATTAAGACGTATATTTATATATATATATATAGGCCCACAGGGTGTCCTCAAAAAAACATGTCCTATCTTTAAACAGTTAGAATTTGGAATTCTTCGAACATTTGTTTATCTGAAATATTAAGGAGCTTATTATTCCACTATTTGTGATTATCAGTGAGCTATAAAGAGACATTTGTACCTGGAAACAGCATACTCTGCAGCTTCTGTAGCTGGTTCCCGTGTTTTTCTATCATTTACTAAATCAATACCAACAAACATACCATGTCCTCTGAAATTTTGTCAATTTTTACACAATTCAATTAGAAAGTAACTATCATTAGAAAATATGATTATCCATTAGATCTGATATTTTGGTTGAATGCAGGAAATCTGAATATTAAATGCCAATTTTCAAAAGAATTTAGTCATAGATGATCACTGGATGTCAAACATTCTGATTCTAAAATATTGATATTGACAAACCAACATAAAGTGTTAAAATTCAGAAATTAAAAATGTTGCTTAATGTTTTACTATTCTGCAACGACTGGGATAATGAAGACAGGCATACACCATTCAGTGGGCTATGAGCGAAATTTTGATTGCACAGCTGCACTATGGCCTACTCATATTTCAATATAGGACATTGTTTTTCATCCCATCTGAATGACTAAACACTGTCCCTTAACAAATCCTCCAACCAACACCACTGACATTTTGGGAAATTCTAAGGAACTTTCTCGGCCAACACCGGTAGCCAACCAGAGACCTGGTTAAGAAGCCAGCACCTCACTCACTTGCTAAAGTATGACTTTACTTATAAAGAACTGTTAAAACAGCCCTTTATCCAATTGTTGACTGAGTGAAGGAAAACGTTAAGAGAATACTTGTTTCTATATTTGTAACAAATCAGTCATAGTATTCCGTATAAATGGTTGTTGTGTTTATAACCCTTTATATTCCAGTACCTGTCTCTGATCTATATAGTTACCTACCTGATATCTCCAATCAATGTATATGTTTTCTTCATGTTATTTAGTTTATCTAAGAAATATTGACCAACTTGAACAGCTTTTCCTCGTAAATCTTCATTCTCTATAACATCTAATACGGCCAGACCAATCGCACATGAAACTGGATTACCACCATACTGAATAAAAGGTTTTATTAAATGTATGATGATGAATATATTTTTTATTCCACAATAAACATTCAAATGGATTGGTAAAAACTAACAAAAAGTTCCGGTTAACCTCTTAAAAATATTTAAGGGCATAGACATTATATTAAACATGGATTATGCAAGAGCTAAATCTGCCTATTGCAGATCTTTCTTAGGCCTGAAATGTTATCTAAATGCCATTGTTAGCCTGTGATATTTAGTGGATTTGAATATATTTTGGGATGGATGATTTAATGTTAAAATGGATAATCAAGACTTTGTTATCATACTAACGTTAGTAAACATGATCCAGGCTAGCCTAAAATTCAATGGATAATATCTTGGTTCAGAGTGAAGAAATTTGACTGAAATTTTCAGCATATTTTGTTTTCATTATCTATTTTTTAAAGGGACAATAACACACTTGCTGACTTGAAAGCTCCAGAAAATAAATAATATCTCTATCTAAGTACCAGATGTTTAAGTGTCCTACCTGTTGTGTAAATTATCCATTACATCCTATTTTACTTGTCCAGAGGGTTCGAAAATATTTTTAAATTGAAGTTTCATTTGAAAAGGTTTACGTTAGACGTTTCAAACCATTATGTTGAATTTTTCAAATTTTTTAAATAAGGTGTGTTAAGATGAAATTTGTATCATCAATTAATTGAAATATTGTAAAATAGTGCAATTTGTTGACCAGAATAAAGATTGGGACATATTATTCAGTTACAACAAGAGTGGTATTGAGCCTTTAACTATTATAGCGAGAACTGCCAGCTTATCTTACCTAATGCCCCTTTAATTGCTCAATAATATTAATGTAATTAATACAGTAACAAAAAAATAAAACATAGAATATTGTAAGTAAGCTTCATCATGTATTTATATACAATTTATATTGACAGAGATAAAACAATTACTTGTTGACATTGAAAGAGGGGGCTGACTCTTGTTGAAATAATTTGTATAAGCTCTCTCTAAAAGTGGGCGTATATCGTTGTCACCCCTATTCACAAGTTATGTGCATACAATCAAACTAAGCATATCTTGACAGAAGAGGTTGAATGAAATTTACAGAGGTATAACACCATGTGCCCTAGCGAATATTTCATAAACTTAATGCTCTTTCACAGTGGTGTGCAGATCTTGATGATGCTTGCAGCCAACTCTTTGAGTGTATGCCCCCAAAACTCAAGTATAGGGCTTAGTACTCAGAAATGTGAGAAAGGAAGACATTGGAAAACCACGTTGTTTAATCTGTGTGTTTTGCAATTATAGATTCTTATAAAATACCTGTCTCTGGCTGTCTATATCTTATACAGAATTATCATTCCATTTGTTTTCATTGACACCCATTATTTTATATTTTAGAATTAAAGTTGATCTAGATTTAACTTCAGTATTGCGTAACAAAATGTGAACATGGCAGTGGTAGTTGGTTAGACTCTCTCTCTATATATAAGACTCTGTATTTCGGTTAAGTCAGTGTAATGTTCACATCAAAACTTCATCATATCATGTAATAACAGCATGTGACAGTCAAGTCTGAACACAAGGCGTCTGTCATAGACTTTGTCAGACACAAATTATCACACAACATATATAATATACATAATGTGATAATTTGTGTCTGACAAACCCTGTGATAGGTGCCCTATATCCAGACTTGTGTATATATACATTGTACGATAATTTGTCCGTGACAGGTGTCTTGGCGACTGTAGAGAAAATTAATTACTTACAGTGTTAAAATATTCTGCACCACAGGCAGCAAAACTTGCTGCTATTTCTCTAGTTGTAACAACTGCTGCTATTGGATGACCATTACCCATTGGTTTACCCATTGTAACAATATCAGGTACAACACCTAGTGATACAATAATTCATGTTTTAAATCTTGTTTTTCTGTCAAAATGACTAGATGACTCGGTACTGTAAAAAATAATTTATGGTTATAGACTTAAATGTGGTTTAACATCCAACTTCTCTGCACCAATCGGGCTAATGAAGACAGACCTACGTCATGCAGTGTGCTCTGAGTGAAATTTTGTCTGGACAGCAATTTTTCCGCCTAATATTTATTGAAATTCTAAATGCCAAGGGTTCTTTTATGTGCACGTCGACATGTACATGGGACCTTGGTTTTTTGTCTCATCTGAACAACTAGACACTGTTGCTTGCTAGGGAAAACCACACTGAAAATTTCTGAGAATGTTTCTCGGCCATCATCCAATCGAACCCTGGACCAATTAGATACATGGAGGCCTACTGTATTTAGTTATATAAATAATTAGATACACATACTGTATTAGATAAAATATAATACAGACCATGCCAAATATCATTTTAATGTTTTCACCTTGAGCTTGAAAAGACCAAAAGTGGGATCCAACTCTTCCAAATCCAACTTGAACCTCATCCATAATATTGATCCCGCCAGCTTGATGAACATATCTAGTAAATAGCAAATCAATACATATACCATACTCCTTGCAGTGTTTCGTTTGATTATACCTAATCCCACTAAATACTGCTTTAACGAAAGCAAATTTCTGTTCCAAATTATGACTGGTCAATGGTCCGATTAACAACCAATAGCTAACTGCATTACAAAAGCATTATGCTTAAAAAAGAGCTCAAAATTGGACCAAATATGTTTACATAAGGTTATGTCATGACTCACAATTTTATTATGCCCAATTAACCAGTGCATAGCAGAATATTGCAGAAAAACTGATATCATGACAAACAAGGCTATCAAATCGAAAACAATGTAAACAACACTGTTTGGAGACAAACATACTTTCACCGTTTTTAATACCTTAAATCACTGTCCAAAGTTTTAGGGAAGACCCAGATTAAACGAAGGGCTGCCATGTTGCTGTACTTGGGATAGACAAACTCCCTCAAAAGCTCAAGTATCAGAAGCCAATCCAGCAATGGCCCGAGAAATCCCTCCCTGGCCATTGCTGGATTGGCTTCTGATACATATACATACTTTTGTCTGATCAAATTTTTTAGAGTGTTATTTTTTTATTCTGTATATACATAAGAATTCAGGCATTAAAACACAATGTTTATTTGTAAAAATAATGATCTAACTTACTTAAATACTTTCTCTAAGTATCCATCAGGGTAGATGATTTGTCCTCCACAACTTTGCATAGATTCTGCCATAAAGCCACTGACCGTGTTTCCCTTTTCATGGATAGAATCAATGATTTCTTTGACATCATCAGCATACATCTTTCCTAAATCCTTGCCTGGGTGTTCATCATCTCTATATTTACCACGGTATGTGTCAGGACATGCGGCCTACAATTTAATATAAGAGTTTTAGGTAAAAATTGTCAAATCAATCTTCTTTTTACATCTCTGTAAAAGTAGAAAATGTTCTGTTCCGACTATGCTAATGAAGACAGGCATACGCCATCCATTGTTCTATGTGGGAAATTTTGCCCGGACAGTTGCGTTATGGCCTACTCTTATATCGAATTCCAACTGCCAGAGGTTTTTTTACGTGTACACTAATGTACATGCGAGACCTCAGTTTTTCATCCCATCTGACAACTATACGTTGTCCCTTGCCAGGCCCTCCGTCAAGGGGGAACCACGCCGGAAAATCTCGATGAACTTTCTCGATCAACACAGGGATCAAACAAAGTTCAGCGGGCCAACGTCTTACTCAATGAGTCATCATGGCTCATGCAAAAGAAAAATGGACTTGCCATTAAATAATCATTTCACATAAATGACCTTTTCGATATTTAGATTTGATTATTAGGCCAGAATTATGCGCTTATAATTAATAAATCATTACGAACAGAAGCATTAGTTTCGATATAAGTATAGTTTTGTGATTTTCTGTAAACCTGCATAATAAAGTGTGTATTCAATGGATGTGTCCTCTTAAAAGACCAATAAAACCTTTCTCATGGATTAATTTTTGTAAAAAAAAAAAATGTGTTTTTTTTTTAGTTTTAGGTAAGGAACATGAACCCCTCAACCTACCATATGTACAGAACTAGGTGCCTTGTGAACTCCATCTTTCATATCATCAAGCTTATATGAACTCAAATCTATTAGAGAAATAACATGTCCATGGTAGGCACTGAAAATAAGAATTAGGATATCAAAAATAGTCTATTGAATTATATATTGGTATTATACCAGAGTGAATTCGTTCGTTCGTTCGTTCTTGGTGTTTAACGTCTGCTTCCACATAAGTGATATCGCAGACAAGACATAGGAGAGCCGAAGCTGATTCCTGTTTTTTAGAATATGATTTTGCAATCTTTGGTTTAGTGGGAATTTTGGTAGATGATCTTGTCTGCTTCTGGATTGGTAGATGTCATCGTTTGGGGTTAGTGTTTAGGTGCCAGGCCCGTCTTATCGTGGCCTCCCCTTACTCCACTATCCCACTCTCTGGGTTTGGTATCAGTTTTATTTGCGGAATAGTGTTTAGGTGCCAAGTTCGTCTGACCGTAACTCCCCCTTACTCCACTATCCTGCTAGTTTGGTAGATGTCATCTTTGTGGGGTTTGTGTTTAGGTGCCAGGCCCGTCTTATCGTGACCTCCCCTTACTCCACTATCCCACTCTGTAGGTTTGGTGTCTGTTTTTGGTGGAATAGTGTTTAGATGCCGAGTGAATAGAGTGAATTGTGCTGTATATAGGTAATATACTAATGTGGATTGTGGTGTATATTGGTAATGATATACTACCATGGATTGATGTGTATATAGGTAATATACTACTGTGGATTGATGTGTACAGTGGTGTATATAGGTAATATACTAGTGTGTAGTGTGGTATATTGTGATGTATATAGGTAATATAATAGTGTGGATTGTGGTGTATATTTGTAATAATATACTAGTGTGTAGTGTGGTGTATTGTAGTGTATATAGGTAATATAATTACTGTGTTGTGTGGTATATATTATAGGTAATATACTAGCATGTACAATACATTATACTGTGATGTAAGTAAGATAGTAATATAAACTGCCATTAATAATTACCCTTTTAAAACAATCATATCAGAATGCTTGGTGTGATGCTTGGCTAATCTCAAAGCTAAATCATTTGCCTCAGATCTGAAAAAAAATAAATAATTATTTAAAATCTTTTTACAAATGATTTAGATCTTTTGTGTTTTGTATTTTTAATTCCAATAATATACTTGAACTGGGAGAGAAAGTGTATGAGAGAGAAATAGGCTTTAATGTAAACGTAACATGGTCATTTTGGGATGAATATAATAATAATCATATACACATTTCTTTATTTCAATAACTCATACAGGGGTTGTAAAATGTGGGGATTCTTTTGTATGGAACCCAAGACTAGCTTAAATAGCAGATTGTGCACACATTTTAGACCACCCACCCACCCACCAAACTATAGGGATGTCTGTACATAAAATATTAATAATCGTCATAAAGACACAATATAGACAGATCTTTGTCAAAATATGATTTACTATAGATTACAAGACTGCTACAGAACAATACAAAATGGACAGATTTAAAAAAAAAACCAAAAAAAACCATTTTTCTACAGAAAAAATAAAATAATATTGTACAGACAACAATAAGCATTTATATAAAAAAAATGAACAAAACTGATAACAAAAAAACAGAAGCTTAGAATTTCAAAAAATTTAGAAAGACGTTGACAAACAGCACATGACTGACATAGAAGCTGTTCGATTCAACATAAATTGCTGGCATATTTGAGTCTTGAAGGCAGACAGTGAAAGAGTTGGTCACAAGTATCACCAAACCTCTATATGCCACTAACTGCGCAAATGATCAAAATCTCATTGTATGTATCTCATTGTATGTAACATTAGTCAAAGGTAAAAATAACATTAGTCTTTACTCCTGATATACAAGTAATAGGCATATGGTAAATTCAAACAGTGAATATTACACAGGCATTAGAACAAATTTTTTTTACCCAGAATTAGTAAAATAAACAACTTTGAGGTCATCTGGTAAGGTTTCAGTTAATCTTCTGGCTAACTTGACCATATTATCATGTAGGAATCTAGAATTGGTATTCAGCACTTGCATTTGTTTCGCTCCAGCTTCAACAACGTATGGATGGCAGTGACCAACTAGAAAATCAAGAGTTTATTCTCAATAAAGAATACCAGGATGTTATCTTATTTTAATTCCTACAGTGGCATGGAGAGGTTTAGTGATGCCCGGGGCCAACTCCTCGATTATATACCCTAAGACTCAAGCATAGGGTCTTGTAGTTCTGCTCTGACTGGACTAATGATAACGGGCATATGCCATACAGTGTGCTATGAGGGAAATTTTGCCCAGGCAGCAGCACTATGGCCTACTCTTATATCAAATTTCAACTGCCAAGGGATCTTTTACATGCATGCCAATGCATACACTGGGCCTTGGTATTTCATACCAACCGAACGACTAGACAGCTTAGACAGATGTCCTTGTCAGGCCCTCCATCTTGCACCACTGACAAGGGGAAACCATACAGGAAAATCCTGATGAACTTTCTCCTGTCACTTGAACTACTTCATGTTTTATAGGTTCTCTACTTGGATCTCAAGTTACACATTCACACCAGCTTGTGGAAACTGCAGGGTGACTTGTACAACGACTTGTTCAAATGTCCTCCTGAGATGGATGTCCCCCTGAAATGGACGTTCCCCTGAAATGGATGCACAGGGCCATATTGCCCCACCCTCTACCCCCTACATGCTGCTGATTCCTACACTGAAGCTGTTTTGCACCTAAGAACAAAAATTTATGTTTGACTTCTATACCTGGAAACCTGGATATAAGCAACCAGTCATAGACAATGTCAGGCAGAAATTCTGGTTTTACTAGGCATAATCCCTGTCATTTTGTCTGTCATAAAATTCTTCAATGTTTCAGTGTTTTCATTGACATCTTTAATACAATGTCCTTTACAAAGATCAAAATGTTAGGTACAAATAAAATCATTTTTTTCAGGTCTGTATTTCTGTCGTTCAAAAAAGAGTACATTATTTCAATAGTCTACTTACCATGACAAACATTATTGATACAATCTAAATATTGGTTATCATGTTCATCATACATATACTGTCCTTTTGCTCGTACTATTTTCAACGGATCAGATTTAAAAAATAAGGTACACGATTCTCTGCAAAATAAAATAAAGTTATATAATTCATTGTATACAAAAAAAAAAGAATCTCAAATATATCACTACAGGCCCGGGACTGTACAGTGCAGTGGAAGCTTACGGCTAGCCCCTGGATCCATTCACTTGATTTGATATTTGTTTATTTAGTGGATTGCTATTTTCTGTTTTGTCCGCAGGTTTATCTTGTAGATTTTTGTTTTACATGTAGTGTGGTCCTCTTGCACTTACTATTATAATACTTTCGGGATGGAGCCATTTAAAACGGCTGACATGAGATATGAAATGAAATGGGGTTTAATGTCCTACGGTTTTGCGCGGACTTGGCTAATGAAGACGGAAAATTGCTTATAGCCAAACGTAGGTTTATAGGTTTTTAAGACTCACCATCTTCAATATACAAATGAAAAGAAATGGGGTTTAATGTGCTACTTTTCAGCTCCATCCGGGTTAATGAGGACGAGCATATGCCATGCAGTGTTCTATGAATAAAATATGCCCAGACAGCAGTGCTATTTATTTCATATTCCAACTGTCACAGGATTTTATACGTGCGCACACACCAATGTGTGCATGTGATCTCTAGTTTTTTTCCCATCCTAACAACTTGATGCTGTTGCTTGATTAGGTCCATCGTTCTACACCACTAACAAGATGGAACGAAATCAGAAAATCATAGGGAACTTTCCATTTTCAAACTATCATCATAGTTTTGCCACTAGAAGTTGGCCACATGTATGTAGTTAAAGCAGCAGTATGGAAGATTAGATACAGAGCTGACAGTTCTTGCTATGATAATTAAAAAATAGATAATCTAAAGGGAATATGCTGAAAATTTTAGTCAATTTACTTCACTCTCATTTTAAAAACAATATAGCCTCTATTGTCATTGTTACCATTGTTATCGTTGTTACGATAAAAAACAGTCTTGATTATCCATATTTACGGTTAAAGGAGCTAAATTGCTAATATTTGGGACTTAGAATATGACATAAATGGATTGCAACACATATAATAATGCAATATGAATGTATATAAACTGATTTACATTCAGTTGTTTCCGTTTTTACTCCAAGTTTCAAATCAATTATGTTTGGCGAAATATGCCACAAGTCTCAATCGAATGGCAATCTCTAGCTTCTGGCTATTCCAGTCTACAACAATAGTATTTATTGTGTATACTCTCCAGATAAGAATATGGCGTCACCATTTGACATGACGTCTGGAATATGTTTAGCCTTGTTCTTCGAGTCCCTTGCTACAAATGGTGCTGAAACGCATTATTGTACACGAATGGTAAAATGTTTATTTTGTCTTAACTATTGGATATCAGAAGCCCATCTTTTCCCGGTAGGATAACAACATCAATGTTGATTTAAATTGACAAATAACCCGTGTTTTCAGTGTCGAAGACTTTTGATGATATTTAGTAAGAGACTTAGCTACTTTAATCATCCACCATCGTCGAACCACAGATCAGATTCAAATCTGTTTAAAATCGGACCCATCAGATGGCATCGAGAGTTGATTGTGGTCTTGTCATGTATAAATGTCTAATTAATAGTTTATATAATAGGCCTAAAGAAAGATTTAACTCTTGCATAATGCCTGTTTAATCAACATACTCAAAATAAGATTAAAATCAGCTAAAAGGCTTGATGCATCAATTGCATTTTTACTAAAATATCAAATTTCTCACGGCTTAATCCACTCTAAATATTTACTCATATTGATTATTTAACATTTGATTAAGAAAACAAAATCAAAATATCATCAGTAACCAGTTTGGATTCAATCGGATTTAAACTAGGCCCATCAGGTTTCTCTGCTACTAAACGGTTTCCTCCCACTGCTAAAGACCCCTACGCGCAAGCGAATTATGTAAATAAAATTAAACCATATGTTAGTCCCGAAATGACCTAGTTTGTGTCGAGTGGACGTTAAACCCAATTTCTCTCTCTCTCTCTGCTACTAATAAAAGAAAGCGGTGCCTTGTAAATACTGAACGGAATTGGAATGATATTCCTATTAGTAATTAAACTTTCACAATATTGTAGTTTGCAAGATTTCTATAGCGCTAAATGATATATCAAATTTACATTCAAATTCATAACAAACTTTTTATGTCATTGGGAACTAGACCCACTCAATCATTGGCAACTAAACGCAATCACTCATCGGAAACTAGACCACACACTCACTTATTACAGCCCTCCAGCCACATACTGTCCTACATCTAGAACAGATTCAGAAATTTTACACATTCTGTTACTGACAAGACATCTACTAAATCGCTCATCAAGCTGTCTGCCTCGTAGTAATGTCAAGTTTTGAAATGGTCCAAAATTAATCTTTGTACATATTAGCCTAGATTTATTAATGAAATCTGATTAAAACACGTATCCTATTTCATTTCGTTTTTTATAGTTCAAAATTTCGTTTGACTTGTCTTCACAATACTAGGATCTGGAAGAGCTGTTATATAACAGGCGTTCTAGTTGATGTGGGGAATTAGACAATATGATTCCATTATTATTGTAACTGCTGATGCTTCCCTGTTCTCAGTCGAGAACACGCCTGGAAAAACTTAAAATAGAATAGGCACCAGTACCAGATTTTTCTGTTTATCTTAGTTGTATGTGTAAAAAATTTCTAGAACACACGTTGTTCAGATTTATGATGAACGACTATTATCAGAACAAGCTTAACCTAAGCAGAAAATGCTCATTTTCAAACTCCATCAAGGTATTGGCCTAATAAACACCTACACCAAGTTTGAACATTCTAGCTCAATTAGAATGAGAGTTATTGTGTCCCAAAAAGAGTGACGGACGGACGGACAGACAGACCCATTTTATTAATCCCCTTCTTTCTTCAAAAGGCGGGGGACAAAAACCTTTTTGTTGTATAAACCTTTAGTGTTATTATGCAGTGACTTGTTTTCCCTTTATTTGGCAAATTTCGTTTCGTAAGAATAATTAATATGTTGGTAGCATGCACGTCAGCGTCCAGACAATTCAAATCTGAATTTTCACCACCCAGTATTTAAATGTAAGTGGCCGTTATGGTTTATGGTTGCTATGACCACATCGGAACATCCATCCCTATATGAATGTCTGTAGTTATATATTTATTTTATTCAATTGAAGTAATGTCGTTTTATTGAAATGAAATGAGGTTTAAGTCCTACTTTTCTGCAACTGATGTAATGTGAATTTATATTTTATCAGCTCATCAGTATATGGTAATATAGTTGCACCACATTCCAAGCACATCCCAAAGTTATTACTTCCTTGACATACCACAAACATTTGCTTATTTTATATTTCAATATTGTTATGACGCCATGGTGATGTGTGTGCACAATTTATCTCTGTAGCCCTAATATTATGTGTGATCAGAGAGAAAGAGAAATGAGGTTTCATTTCCACTCGACACAAACAAGATCATTTTGGGACTAACATAGTAAAAAAAAATTTCAATTTTGTGCATGTTTTTTTTTTTTAAGCAGGACCAGGGGAAAACTACGAGGTTGGACAGGTGACCCTCGTCATGTATTGGGGTTGAAACCGCGTCAGTTGACACAATGACAGAGATTATAATCTAAAGTGCATGTGTTAGGCCCCCTCCCCTCCCCCAACCCCATGTTTGACCTGCGTATGACTTCATATTAAATTTTAAATTTATTATAAACAAAATCATCAGCATGTCAAAATCTATATTTGGGCCAAATTTCACACTTTCAAAACATATCCAACAATTTGTTCACATATTTGAACCACTATATGGGTTAGTGGTCTGAATGTGGGCACTGTTTACCAGGAACATATTTAATTGAGGATTAAGATAAGAAAATGAAAATAGTTTATGAAAAAAATATTAATTATATGACAAGATCTTATTAGAGGAACATTATACAGTATTTTAATAACCCCCATTTTAACACTATTTGGGCTAGGGCATGGACCTTATATACATGTATTATAAGGTCCATGGTTAGGGTTATGACCCCGCTCCCCACCCACACTTTGGAAGTTTGCCTTTCTTTTCATTGTCATTCTTTTAGTAGCTGCTAATTAATATTTAAAAATAGGGATATGGAAAGTGAAAAGAATATTATATAAATGTTATAATAGGATACAACAGAGGATGACTATTTATAGCAATCATTTGATAAACGGTCTTTTAACCCGAAACATTATCATCAATAAACCACTTATCTTTTCTATGTGCGATCCCTGCATTGGCCGAGAAAGTTCATCTGGATTTTCCGACGTGGTTTCCCCTTGTCAGTGGTGCAGAACGGAGGGCCTGAAAAGGACAGCTGTCTAGCCCTTCGGATGATACGAAAAACCGAGGTCCTGTGTATACATTGGAATTCGATATAAGAGTAGGCAATAGTACCGCTGCCCGGGCAAAATTTCCCTCATAGCACACTGTATGGCGTATGCCCGTCTTCATTAGCCCAGTATAAGAGCAGAACAGTAGGACGTTAAACCCAATTTCATTTCATTTCATCTTTTCTATGTAAAGTCTGCTGTTAAGTGAGGATTTTTAGATGTCTATAAAAATCTAATAATAGCTATATTTATTTAACAGCTAAATACATTGGAAATCCTGATCAAGGTCGGGTCACTGTGACCCTTACTTAATCTACACGCAAGTCCAAAATGAAATACTAACACACCTCCAATTAGACATCAAAGACACCTTTCTACCTTAAAGATGTTTTATTTTTTTATTATAATGTTGATAATAGTGATAATGGAAGCAGTGATTTTATTTTAGGGGGCTGATATTTGATTCTAGAGCAAGAGTCGGTCTTGGACTGATTTAGCTAAATAAAAAAAAAACTAACCTGTAAACCATTTTTTAAGAGTAAAAATTTTTAAAAACTTGTAATGAAAAGTATAAAAATATTTCAAAGAAACTCCCCCCACTCCCACGCCCAAATACCTAAATCTCTGAATGTAATTGATTTAACAACTGACATGCTATCA